CTTATCAGTTCTTTTTAATATTCCATTTTTAGAATCACAATAAAAACAAACAGGATTATCAAAATAATATACACATCCAATACACAACCATTTACTTGGATAACAAAAAGGCACACCATAACACTCTTGATGCACATAAACACCACATCCTTGACATCTAATTAAATCATCATTGATATACCCACAAATTTCACAATAGGTATTTTTATCTAATTCCAAACAATTCAAACCTAGTAATTTTATTTTAATTGAGTTATTAAAGTTATTATCAATTAACTTATAAATAAAATTAAAATAATCTGTTTGTATTGAATTTTCAGAAATGAATTGTTTATCAAATTCATCAAGCTTATAGAAATTTATATTTATAGTTCTTGTAGTACCATCAACATGAACAACTTCTTTATTCTCTGTATAGCTATCCCACTTGATATTTAGAGGTCTATTAATATCCAGTTTATCATATAGTTTCTTATAGCTAATCTCTTCTCTTGGTAGTCTCATTACAGCGTTAAATTAAAACTGAAATAAATTTATTAAAAATTATATAGATGTCTACACATCTTATTGTATACTTAGTATACAGGGGTTATGATATAAGCACTTACTTATGAAGTATCTTGTAATAATCAAGAACTTGTTTTAATTCAGTAAGGCATTTTAATAATTAATAATTGAAATAAAAATTTTATAAAAAAATAAAAATAAATTAAACTTAATTTTTATTTATTCTTTTATAAATTCTCTGTTTTAATTTAATATCTTTATAAATTCTCTGTTTAATTCTTTCTTTTATCTCTTTAATCTTTTTATTAGTTGGATGAAAAGATTTTTTTGAATTCAAATTTTTCATTTAAATAAATCATTAAAATAAATTTTTTAAGTAAACCATTTTAATTAATTAGAAGTTCTCATTAAACAATCCAAATACATCTTTAGCATAAGAACCTGTCTTTTCTAATTGATAACCTGATCCAATTAATGCGGTAGTAAAGATAAAGTCAATTAACTTATTAACTTGCTCAATTTCATTTTTATCAAATAATTCTTTCAATCTAATTATTGCCTTATTATTAGGGTTAATTTCAATTATCTTTTTTACTCTCAATAACATTTGAGCCATAATGTTATTTTCAGTTTGTACATTATTCTTTAGTAACTTTTCCATTGTAGATGATGCACCATACTTAGAAGCTAATACTACTGCTGGAATTGATTCATATCTTGATGATACAATTACCTTGTCTACACTATACTTAAGGTGTTCCTTAATATGATCAACTAATGACTTTAATTCTTCACTGTTTTCATTATCATGTCCTTCTACACCTTC